TGATAGCATTGAAAGTTTCTCCTGTCGTTTCACTTTGCATTTAGGAATTGACACATGCTTTTTGTCAATCACAAAGACTAGTGCTTTACATAAAGCCATTTAGACTTGGAGGATGAATATATTTTAAGAAATAAAATTATATTTTCTAAGATTTTTCCTAGTAGTAATTTTTACATATATTTTAGTTGCATATTCTGAAATTGTTTCAAAAAGACAGCAATTGGATTCATATGGTTAAAAATATACATTAGGATACCTGGTGTCATGTTTTTGCTGTTGCCTAGTACTTTAGCTTGTGAGGCAGTTTTTTTCCCCCTTGAAAAGAAAACAGTGTGTCATTACTGTTTTCCTACTTGAATTCATTCACTTGGACTTTGCTCTTATTTTGACACTTCTCTTTCTGCGTTTATCCCTGGTTAGGACTTCTCAGAGGTGTTGGGAAGCACAAGGTGGGGGAAAACTTTAAAATGAAATATACCCAAGATTTACAGACAGTTTTGGTCTCTTTGCCATCCCATGGTACAGTAAGAGAGCTAATATGCTTATATAATGAGATCTGTGTTAATAGATAATGAAAAGAATGCATTTTCCTTCTATTACCAATATCGGTCTCCCTCTGGTTTGCACTGGGGTGGGGATGGAGCATAATTTGTAGTAACTGTAACAATAACTTTTTCATAGAGCCCTTCTACAGTGTCCAGTTTTAGGCTGATCATTTTACATTTATCTCATTTAATACTTTCACATGCCTCTGAGAGTGACATTATTATACCCATTTAGCAGGCCTAGATTGATGAGGTAATCTGTCCAAGGCCACATAGTGAGTGGCAGAGCCTGGATTTGAACTCAAGCAGTCTGTCTCTAAAGTCTGGCATCTTAGCCATCATTATATTATGGCTTCTTTCCAGACTAAAGATTGTTCCCAGTGCTTGGCATGAATGTACTTTGCCAAGATTAAGAGTCTCAGTGTTTTATCAGCTGAGCCAGTAAGCTTTTTTATTTTTTAACAGACTCTCTGTTATGATGTTGTTTAATGACATCCTGCAGGATTTACTTGGCTTCCTCCCCCATCCCCTTAACTGTGCAGACAGCCAAAGCTCAGATATGGCCAGCCGTGCTACACTTTCACCTTTGCCTTCCCTGCCTCACTTTATGTGTCACCTCTACCCTGTGTGGGGTCTGCTCCTACCACCTCCAGCACTGGGGTGGCTATGAAAGGGATCTAAAAGCATAACAGGGCAGTTGTTGGGAAAGTTTTTGTGGAGTCAGAATCGAGGTTCAAATCCGGCTTTTTGAGTTCTCAGTGCTGCCCCTATAATTGTCTAATTGTCTTTCCATTAAATTTTTTCTTTCTTTCTTTCTTTCTTTCTTTCTTTCTTTCTTTCTTTCTTTCTTTTCTTTTCTTTTCTTTTCTTTTCTTTTCTTTTCTTTTCTTTTCTTTTCTTTCTTTCTTTTTCAAGATTTACTTATTCATGAAAGACACAGAGGCAGAGATACAGTCAGAGGGAGAAGCAGGCTCTCTGTGGGAGCCTGATGCTGGACTTGATCCTGGATCCCAGGATCATACCCTGAGCCAAAGGCAGGCTTACCACTGACTTACCCGGGCTTCCCTCCATTAAATTTTCTGTCCTATGATTTTTCTATCCAGCAAATATTTATTGTGTGCTACTATGTGCTAGTCACTCTTGTGGGCAGTGGGTATCCAACAATGACACAGGCAAGGCTCTGTCGTGATGGAGCTTACATTGTGGTGACAGGAAGACATAATAAACATACAGATATGGTTGTGAAAGTGCTTTGGAGAAAAGTAAAGCTGAGTGAGAGAGAAAAGAAGTTCTAGGGCAGGATGGGAGAGTGGATGAGAGGAGGAAGCAGTTTCTTTTTATATAGAGTGGCAGGGAAAGTCTCTCTGATATGACATTTGAGAAGAGGCTATTTCAGGAGAGGACCCAAATGCAAAGGTCCAGAAGCAAGATCGTCATGCCTAGTGTGTTGGAGGAACAGCAAGGAAACCAGTGTAGTTGGAGTGTAGTAAGACGGGTGCATAGTAGGAGGGTAAGATCAAAGTAGGCCAAATCACAAAGGATTTATAAGCCATTTAAAGGACTTTGTCTTTCCCTTTGTGGGAGGGGGAAGTGATTAGCAGGGTTTAAGAAGAAGAATGACATAATAAGACTTTTAAAAAGACCATTCTATCTTTTCTGTGGAAAATGCATTTAGGCTAAGAGTGAGGGGAGAGAGGACAAGAGGATTCCAGGTAAGACTTTATTGCAGTAATCCATAGGATTAGTTGATGGATTCGTTGTGGAATAGAAAAGGAAATCAAGGATGGTTTCCATGATTTGAACCTGATTTGATAGGAAGGAGTTGTCATCTACTGTGATGAAGACCAGGGGAGGGAGCACCTGAATGGCTCAGTTGGGTAAAGTATCTGCCTTTGGCTCAGGTCATGATCCCAAGGATCTTAGTTAGGATTGGGCTCCCGGCTCAGTAGGGAGTC